ATCGACTCTGCTTTTAATTCATGGAATGCATTAAAAAAATAAAAAAAAATGTATTTACAAATATGCTTATCTATGCATTCGGATCAGGTACAAATCAATAATTTCTCATATCGTTAATCCATTAGGCATTATTAAGTATTATTTCCTTCCGATAAAGATCCAACTTCAGCCTTGTGGGTTTGAGATACATGTGTGATGAGAGGAGTAGAGAGAGAGACACACTAGAAGGTTACCAGAGACTCCCTCTGTGAGGATTCAAAGGGTGAGGTGAGAGATTTTAGAGGGCAAGGCTCTTGAGGACTATAGAGGCGAGAAGCATTATCGTGTTTAGAGAAGAGGGATAAGGGAGAGTTTAAGAATGTAGGTGGTGGTTCTCCTTCTGGTCCTCCTCTTTTTAAATGTGGTAAGATGTCTTTTTATAGCCAGAGGTGAGATTTGGTGATGTCATGTTGAGGTAAGATAAGTGGGTTTATTATAGTGACAAAAAGGGCATGATAAATACAATGTAAAGCAATGGTAAGACAAAACAAAAGAAAAGTATGGGTTGTGGTCATAGGGTTTAAGGTGATTATTTTATCGAAAAAAATATTGCAAAAATTAATCATCTAGAATGGGCATGGGTTAGTGAGGGAGTTGAAGTGGTATTTTTCTCTATTCGAGTTGGAATGTGCGTTAACTGGACAACTGAGAGTGATCTGCCTTCTTGACGGGCCCTGTATTTCAGCCACCAAACCAAGCACCTTCTCTCATATCTATTTACCTGTCTACCAATAGAAAATAGAATCCCATATTAGTAGGTTCACAATTAGCTCCCCTGCCTCTAAGACTGATTTTGTCTTAATGTGTCAGGGGAGTTGAATTGGATAAAAACATTGCATGCTGGCCTGAGTGATATTTGCTAATGGACTGATATTGTCTTGAGAATATAATAGTACCTTTTTACTTCATAAGACTCTGATATGAACAATCACCAGCTCTGGCTAAGCTTCCATAAAGCTCCGCATATCTGTTTACCTGCGTGTCCATAGGAACTAAATACCCATGTTAATAGGTTTATGATTACCTCCCCTGCTCTAAGACTGTTATTGTCTCACTAAATGTGTCAGGGGAGGTAAGTTGAATAATAATATTGAATGATGGCCTGAGCGATATTTGCTGATGGACTCTATCTAATGGTATCTATGAAAGGCCGAGAAGCGCAATATCTTTTCTTTCCAAATGAAGCTACAGTTTGAATATAAGCTATAATTAATGATTATGGATGTCTATCCTCCTACTTTCCTATTGATACCTCAATGCCTTGATTAATTTGTTTCTTCCAAAGGTCTGATCTACTACTTCTTCTTTTTCTCTCTCTGTGTGATTTGATTTCTTTAGTTACATTACATGCGACATGTGCTTCCAGTATTGACATCCAGTATATGTTTTATCACGCATCCATGTTGTAAGCTTTATTAATCAGGTCTGCAGCTATCTAAAATATAGTCAATCCTTTCTTTGCTGAGGTTTGGATCATAATCATTAATAAAAAACATCAATAAATTTCTTCCTCTAGTCAGCGATATTATGATCTTTTAGCAATCTAAATCCTTAACCTCAAGGTACTAGTAACTTTAAAATGCCATGAACATATTAACACCCATTCCAATACTCAGGATTCGTGACCATTGTTGTCCCATCTTCCAATTGTTGATTCCAGTTTAGGTCTGCCAAAGTTTGTCTCAGCTTCCAATTGTTACTTCTAGATTGGGTCTACCGAAAAGATCTCCTTATAATTTTCTAAACAACATCACACTTAATTCGGTAACCATAAAAGGATCAATAATCCAATCACCATCAGAGTTCAGATATAAAAACTAAAAACGAATATTGGGGAGCCAACAAGTGTATTCAAGTATTGCAAAAATCTTCCTAGTAGAGGTTAAGTCACATCCTATTATATCAGCAATCTGTATTACTTGAGTTTCCTATTTTGAAATCCTTGGTGCAAATTTTGTATTCCTCAATTAGCTTAATATAGCTTCTATACCTGTGTACACTTTTTTCATCAATTTATTAATAATGCACCTCTTTGAATATATTAATGTCACCAAACTTTTTATGCACCATCAATCGAAAGGCTTACTTCTAATGTCCAAAATCATTTTTATCCACCATCAATCAAAAGGCTTACTTCTAATGTCCAAAATCATTTGTGCTTAAAAATCAACTCTTTAACTTTCTAAAAATCATACAGAAAAAATCCTGTTGCCATGCGCTGCTTTATAACTGTGCAGCAACTATTGCCGCCTTTATCTATAACAGTTACATTCTAAATTCCTCTAATACCTGCGTATATATGCATGTATGTATCTTAGCCATGCGAGTGTCTATATATATATGTCTTAGACATGTAAAATATGTGTATGTGTGTGTGTGAGTGTATATATATATATATATATTGGCTTTAACTTATTCTTCATGAAACTTCTCTCTTCTTTTTAACCTTAGCAGTGCATATATATATATATGTATGTATGTATAATTTTCACTAGTTGTCCTTGAAATTTGGTTTTTTGTTTTTTACTTTTGAAAATGTTTCATTGGTGAAATAAAAAATGTGAATATATCTGAACAATATTAAAAATAAAAAGAAAAAAGAGAAGAAAAAGAAAAAGACACCACTTATGAGTTGAATATGCAACATTGATGGAGCACCCGCTGACCCTTGTCCTGTGAAAATGATCGAAGTTTTGTACCCAAAGAGTTGAGTAAAAAAATTAATGGTATGAGGTAAGTTTGATTTGGTGAAATAATTTAGTTAGCTTGCTCCTAGTTTGAAAGTAAATAAAATATGCCAGAAGTCAGTCACTCTATTAGAGCATATGAAAAAAGTGTTTTTTTTCCATCAAGCATTATTATTTTTAGTGTAAAATAGTTTTGCGTTGAGCTGTGTGTGAATGTGCATCAAGTCCGGTGCATGTCCCCAGATTCAAGTTCAAGTGCCACTCACAGCTTTTAGTCACAAATTTAATTTAGTTAGTTATTAATTGTTAATTTGGATCTTTGGACTTAGGAAGCTCTGGTCTTCGACTCTCTATCTTGCTTACAAGTTCTCTGATTTGTATTTGTTGCAATATAGAAAAAATTTATTGGCGGTAGAAGTGAGAATCCATAAGGCTCACTCACTTCAACCACAGGGGACGCGCAATGGTAACGACATTGAATGGCCTGATCTAAGGCTGTGGTGGAGTTCCCCCCATCTTTGTGTCCCTCCATTACTAGTGATAGATGGACTTTGCTATTGCTAGTCCCAGACTGTGGCGGACTTTGTCCCGGTGTCCCTCCTTTTTTTGGCCTGCCTTTCTTTTCTTTTCTTTTCTTTTTTTTTCATTTTTTTTTTTTTTTTTTTTTTTTTTTGAAGGGGGCCTAATATTTTTTCCATTTTTGCAGAGAATGGTCTAGCGAGATTCCAATTGGAGAGCTCACGCACAACCAGGTTAGGGAAGCACAGCGATCACTAGTAAAAAATTGGGCAAGTGAGAATCTCCAGAAGGGCTCACTCACAACAAACCCGTAGGGAACCACAACAAAACCATGGCACTATCTGCCCCATATTGCCTTTTCCCACACCCATTCTCCCTATTTTTTAACAAAATCATCTCAGATTACATGCTTGCTCCACTTTGAGCCTAAACCAAAGCCCCCACAGCCCTCGATCCAAGAATAGTATTTTGTTATTTATTTGTGTTCATTTGTGAACTTCCAGCAGTGAGTAACAGTTTCGATAAAACGGTTGGATTCAGTTATGTTTCGGACTTCTGTGTAACAAGTGCTCGTGTGAGATTAGCTTGGACAAAACTACGAAAAAACACACTAAAACAACAATGCCTGCAGGATAAGAATTTTAGCACAAACAGAGAAACTGACTTTTGACTATTGAGTGAGTGAAAAAGATGAGGAGCTTAATTGCCAACTGAAAGTAAATGTATGTAATTAGGATGATAGGGCTGAAGTGTTTTTTCTTTTTCTTTTTTTATAAAAAATCTTTTTTTAATAACAAAGTACGCTTTTTTTTATTATTATTTTTTTTTTATATACTATATATATATATATATATAAAAGAAAAATAAAAAGAAAGAAAGTGAAAGTGTACTTGTGATTCAATCCTGTTGAGAACAAGAGGTATTGGTTAGTTAGGATGAAGGAAAGGGTGCTCCGTTGCCTAGGTACAAATATTTATTACTCTTAACTATTATATTGAAGAGACCAAAACATCGTTTATAGATAAAATAAAAGAGAGAACAAACTGAAAAATAAAAAAATTAACCAAAATATTGACTCTTAAGAAAAATATCATTTATAGATAAAATAAAAGTGAGAACAAACTGAAAAATAAAAATAAAAATAAAAATAAAAAATAAAAAATAAAAAATAAACCAAAATATTGACTCTTAACAAAAATATTATTCATAGATAAAATAAAAGAGACATTAAACTGGGATAGGTTTTACAAAAACATACTTAGATTAAACCAAATATAGACTCTTGACAAAATACCAGATATAAAATAAAGAGGGATAAAACTGTAAAAGAATGAACCGGTTCACCTACTACTTAATGTAAGATAGGAGACTAACTTCCTTTTTCATTCTTTTTTTTTTTTTTTGTCTTTATTTTTCAAAAAGTAAACCCTAACTTCTTCTTCTTCCATTTTTTTTTCCTGCTTTTCTTTTTTAATTTTTTCTGTTTTTATTTTTCAAAAAGTAAACCCTAACTTCGTCTTCTTACATTTTTTTTTTCCTGCTTTTCTTTTTTATTTTTTTTCTGTTTTTATTTTTCAAAAAGTAAACCCTAACTTCTTCTTCTTCATTTTTTTTTTTTTTTTTTTTTTTTCAGAAAGTAAACCCTAACTTCTTACGTTTTTCAAGATCAAAAGACCAAAAGCTGACAGATTAAAGATTATTGAAAAAACAATGGAAAAATAAAAAAACCCGAAAGAAAAGTATCAGAAACGTACCTTAAATGGCAGACAAGTTGATTCGGCTCCAACCGTCACCCATGTACTGCCGTGGAAATGGACGACCGAAACCCTGACGAGGAGGAGGAGGAGGAGGAGGAGGAGGCGGAGCAGCACCTTTCCTCGGACGTGAAGTGCAGCGTGCATCGTACGCTTTCCTTGTTATTGGATTCGATAACACATTCCAAGCGTCTGATATGAACTTGAACGCCCCCTCAGCCGCAGCGGATGCGTTCTTATCTGGATGAACAGCCAGGGCTAATTTCTTGAACCTTTTCTTGATGGTTTCGGTGTCGGCCTTCTTGTCTGCCACGCCCAGAATGTCATACCAATTGCCAACCTTTCTACCAGCAGCAAGATGAATACTGTACACAGTAATAAACTGATCGATCTCACTACTCCGCTCCGGATTCAACCGAGCGGCCATCCTCGCTAGCTTCAGTGCATCCTCAACTTTTCCTGCCATTACCTTCTCCTCCGCATACTGTACAAATTTGAGATCCATGATTACAGAAACAGAAAGAGAAAGAGAAAGAGACACAGAGTAGAGAGAAAGTGGTAAACTTTATATATATATATCAGGTTAGGTAGCGTAAGGATGCATGGGAAGATAGCGTAAGGATTAAGTATCCCTTAATCCTATATTATCCAGTAAAAGTCCATATATTCAAAAATAAAATAGAAATTCCCAAATAATTATATGTAAGTCTCCAAATAAAATAAATCATATCACTAATAGAAATTCCCAAAGAAAATTATATGTAAGTCTCCAAATAAAATAAATCATATCATTAATAGAAATTCCCAAATAAAATTATATGTAAGTCTCCAGATAAAATAAATTATATCATTAATCGTGATTAATAGCCTTAAAAAAAATTCTAGGTATTACAAAAAAAGCAGCCACCTGTAACCCACCAACAAAACTTATTCCTATTTCCAAAATCCTCCACCACTCAACTCTTTTTTTTTTTTTTTTTTTCAACTCATACAAAAGTCTCCAATCTACCTCTCATTAGTTTTATATAATTGTGCAGGTACCCAAAATATTTAATATAGGACTTAAAAACCCCAATTTAAATAACAAGGTCTCCAAATATAACTATTCATGTCATTAAATCAAGATTAAATGCCTAAATAAAATCCGGGTATTGCATGTAATATAACCCAAAACTACATAACAAAACATAAATTTGGAATGCACTAATGGCAAACACGACCCAATAAGCAACGGTCTAAGCTTTAATGAATTCTTGCAATTAGATTTAATGGTGGGGGAAAAGATAAAAATTAAATATGTAAGCTCTTTCACCTATTTATTTTCTTTTCTTCTCGCGTAATCATGATGAAACAGTGTCATTTTTTTTCAAAGGGGCTTATTGAATGATATAGCCTCAATTAATTCATATGCTATATATCATATCTTTTTTTTTTTTTTTTTTTTTTTCTATTCATATTAGCATTTGTCTTTCTATTCCCTTCTTAAAAGGTTTATTTATTTATTATTATTTTTTGTGTGCACATTTTCAAGCTATTTTAATCCATTTTTTCTCATTTGATCACCGGTCAATTTGTACTACTCTAACCATTCCCCAATTATAGATGCCTCAATAGACCAGTGACTTAGTGCATCAGGTGATTTTGAAGTGTCAAGTATCGACTCTTTCAATTACTAATATAATTTCTAGCACTTTTTACTTGTAAATAATAATAAAAATAAAAATAAAAAACCATTTCCCAATTGTGATCATTTTTAATTCTATTATTTTTAGTCTTACCCCACATTTATCTCAATATTCACATTTTCAACACTCTCACTTTATGCATTTATGTAGTTTCTTTTCTGCCCAACATTTTGTGCCATAAAGAATGGTTGGTCTAATTTATGTTCCTTAGAAGTTTTTCTGTCAACCCCAAGTGTATTCCCCAATTACACAATATATTAGATACACTTTTCCATTTAACCCATCTTACTTTGATTCTATGATTAAATTTTTACTTCATTACGAAAAATTGAACCTAAACAATCCATCTGATTTAAAAAGTGTGGCAATTTTATATTATCAGAACCATTAGATACGTACTGAGTCACTGATTCATATGTTCTGTTGTCCTTTTCATTTTCTTATGATGTGGTAATAAAGAACATCGATATGTGCTTTCCATGTCTGTATAATGGTACCTATAAATTTGTTTTGATATCACTGAAACACAAGTATCATTGATTAAGATGCTTTCTAATCTTATTAAGTTGTCTATAATTTATCTTTAGTGAATTTCAATTCTTCTACCATTGATTAATAGTACTATTATCTGATATACTCCTAATTAATTGGGAGTGCTGAAAAAGGCAAACTGGTATATATAAGTTTAACATTTTGAAGTTATAAATTGCTTAATCTTCCGAGAAAAAAATAAATAAAAAAAGTTATATATTGACTAAGGAATTTTTTTTTTCTTGGCAAATAATTCCTGGCAATTAATTTTAGGATACTCCAGTCCTCTACCTTTAATTTTGAATGAAGCGGAAATATCACCGGGTTACATACCCTCGTATTAAGGTAATTACTAAACAATTACAGGTTAAAATCTAATTACTGAAAAACAATTACAGGTAAAAATATTGTCATCGGAGTCTTTAAAGCTTGAACCAACATGGAAACAATGGCAGATGACCGGAAGGTTCTTACTCCTTCCCACCGATGTGGTTATTACCAACCATTTCGTAGAGGTGGCTTTTTGGTGTTTCCCATTTGTCCAAACGCGTCCTAGCTTTCTCCACCTGAAATCCAACACACCATGCCCTTAATTAAAGATTATTCTTGCAAAATTTATTTCGAAAAAAAAAAGGAAAGAAAAAGAAGAAGATTATTGTTGCAAATTTTGACCAACTATCTGGATGATCAAGTATTTACTTCTTTATTCCAGTCCGTATGATATGTCACCCAGATTAAAATGATGGTCTGCATCAATGTTCCTCCTATCATCCCAGACCATATACCCTAGACACACACACAAACCATTCATTCCCTTTCTATATCCATGCTTGATATCATAATATCATATATATATATTATGTGTATATGAATTAAAAAAAGAAGCAACTAGCTAATATATACCTGAGCACCAAGGTTGAATTTAAAGCCAAGAAGACAACCAAGAGGAATTCCTACCACGTAATAACATCCCACATTCACATATGCCACAAATGCTTGCCATCCACACCCAACAGCCACACCTTCAATTATTCAAACCAATCAATTCCAATTTCTGTATATATATATTGTTCATGATATTTTTTAGTTGTGAAGCTCTTACCAGTCAGGACTGGTTGCACACCATTGAGAATGAGAGTGATCGCCAAGAAGGGGCAAAGTTGGGAGACGGCATTGGCCACAGTCTCACCGCTGGTGAAGGCGTAGCTGATGACGTGGCGCAACGCTAGCACAGTCATAGCTTCCACCACAGCAATGATGAAAGAAACAGAAGTCACAACCAAAACAGAGAATGCTGCAGACTTGGGGTTTCCTGCTCCAAGCTCATTGCTAACCCTAACACTGTTTCCAAATGATTCATTTTTTCCTTTCAATCAATCCTCAAAGATTTTAACTTATCAAGACTTTAATGGTATGATTAAAATCCACATTTTAATAAGCAAAGTTGAAGAAGGGAAAAATAATCAATAATCGACGTACCATATTCCAGGCAATAAAAATTCTTATTTCCTTCATTTGATGCACTTAGGTGGAGCAGATTGGAGTAGATATTGGGTGAGTTGAGTATAGGTAATTAGTATGCCCACTCTCTCTCATAATACATTATGAATTTTTTATTTTTTTTATTTAAGTGAAACTATTTATTAAAATTTCCAAAATAAATTTAGTGGTTGATGCATGTAAGGGGGTTTGGTGCTTTGCACTGAACAACGCACTGACTAACTATTAATGTTGGGTTACTGAGAGTCATTCAAGTCCAAATATAACATAGTTTGAATTATGCTGACCTGGCAGCTGCGTTGAAGCCAACAGAAACATTGAACAGTAGCCCATTAATCAACAAGCTGCACGGATCAAATACACACTATTATTAAACCCTTCATCAAAACAAGTATTATACTATTATAAATATTTTATTACAAACAGTATATATTTTACTGTAATTGCTTTCTAACAACAATAAAAGCCCTGCTAAGAGGGCTAAAGTGGTCTTTGGTTGAAGTTTAGGATTAAGAAATCATTATTTTAAAAATTACTGTAATTGCTTTCTTACCAGACAGAGAGAGAAGCCAAAGCCAGCTTAGGATTGTCAAGCAGCCCTGCAATCAACACTAGTATCTGTAAGTACCACGCTTCCAAGCACAACATCACAGCAGATGCAGACGACAATTTCAGAAAATCCCAAAGCCCATAGAAAGCCTCAAATGTAAGCCCAGTCCACGTCGTCTTGCACTTATCACTCATCACTATGTACACAAACTGGGCCCAGACTATGATCCACCACGACAAGCTCAACACAAGAGATGTACCCAACAAGCCCAACCCAATCTTGTACACCGCGACCCAGCTTAACAGTATGTGCACCACAAGAGTAGCCGCGGATATGCAGGCACTGGGGGCCACAATGCTCTGTGATTGCAAGAATTTCTGTATTGGGAAGTTGATGGCGTACGCGAAGATCTGTGGGATGAGACCGTAGACGAAATTTGCCGCTTGCGTTGCCACCTCCGTTGATTCGCCCAGCAAGAGCAAGATTTTCTTTGAGAAGACGTAGATCACCGTTAATGGGATTCCAGTCAGAGTGAGGACGATCGTTGATCTTTGTAGGTAGACACCGAGCATATCGTACTTGTGGGCACCATAAGCTTGGCCGCAGAGTGTTTCAACCGCACTGCCCATTCCAAGCTGCAACCACCACGTGCAGGAGAAATACATTACTAACATCTATCTAGTCTATCTTTATGTTTTGTTTCACGTCATCATGCATGTTTACACCCACACACAATATATATATATATATATATATATACATGTATTCTTGGTTTTTATTTACTCATAAAAACTGGTCTGAAATTGGATGGATAAATCGTATGTCATATGTATAATACCCCCAAAGTATTTAGCATGTGATACCCTAATTCAATAAATAAATAAATTTCTTTTCTTTTTTTTCTTGAAAACTCTTTTTTTTTCTTTAAAAGAGCTTTTTAAGAAAAATTAAGAGTTTTTACCGACTCGGGATACCATATGCATGAACCAGCGTTGCAGTCAATGAGAGGTATACAAAATCAATATTTGAAAATAGTAGTAAAGGTAATTTGGACAGAAGAATAATGGTTTTTCATATTGTTTTGAAGAACTGACTCCATGCCGTGACTTTAAAACTCCATGATTTTATAATTCTCCTTATAATATATAGATATTATAAGTGGTACTTATACGTGATACCTGTAAATATACCATACACAGTGATACTTATACGTGATGCCTGCAATGCACAATTATACAATCTCTTAATTTGTCTCAACGAGAAATTGATAGTTTTTAAGAAAAAATTTAATCATACATTCAGCAGGCTTACCACTTTTAAAATAGGGTATTGTATACTTTTTCAAATACGAGATAACCAATGTACACAGGCAGGACCCCAGTTCAGGACCACGGATGTCCCCACTGATTTTTTTTAATTTACATTATTATTTATAATTTTAATTAAATTTTCAAAAATGCCCCTACTCAATTTTTCAAAATGCTCCCCTTTACATTTTTACCTCACTAATTTCTCCACTAAATTTTTTTCTAATTTATATTATTACCTAAAATTTTAGTTAAAATTTCAAAAATACCCCACTCAATTTTTTAAATGGCCCACTTCATAATTTATATATATATATATATATATATATACATATATATATATATATATATTATTCTTCGACGATGCCCCTCAAAAAAATTCTTGGGTCCGTCTGCATGCATTAATTTGTGTATATATGTCCGTGTGCATATTCGCATATATATATATACACATACATATAAATCACATAATTATGTACAAATTGTATTTGGGTATAGATAATGAAAGAGATGAGTGTATATGTACCATGATGCCGAAAACAAATAGTTGGATGCCGTTGTTGCCAAGAGTGGCGGAGGCGAGCTGAAGATTGCCAACATGACCGGCGAATATTCTAGTGGACGTGGACATCAAGTTGTTAATCAAGTACACCATAATTGCCGGTGCAGCAAGGTGAAAAAGTAACTTAAGTTCAATCTTACTGGCTAATGTTAGACGCTTCAAGTAAGCTAATTGCTTGTTTGACAATATCTTTTCGAGTTCAGAGTAAGACTCAAAGGCGGCGGACTGCCATTCTGACAACAATGGTGGTGGTTGCGTCGACTGTAAGATGGGTTGACGGTCAGATTCCATATATGCTTACTGTCACACTATAAAAAATTTAGTATGAGGAGGAGGAGAGTTGTCATATATATATACACACACACACACAGAATTGTTCACTTGCTCATACATATACATATATATATATATGGTTGTTGTTTATTAAATAATTAAACTTTAATGTTGTAAAAGTTAATTTATAATTGATTATAAATTAAATTTTATTCACTAGTGTCATACCATATTTTTAAACTTTCATAATATTATTTTAGTTTCATTTAATTTTCTTATAAATAGTAACTAAATAAGTAAGTTGTTTAATATTAATATTAATTTAGAAGTCTTTTTTGAAGCAATTGAAACACGAAATCTATAATAATTTTCTTGAAAGACAGTAAATAATTAATTGAAACACAAACTCTATAATAAGTTTCTTGAAATAAATAACCATATTAAATTAAAAAAAAATTATTATTTATGATGTGAACAACAACCATAAAAAAAAATTAAAAAATAAAAATTAAACTCTATAATAAAAGTTTTATGAAATAAATAATCATATTAAATAAATAGATTAATTATTATGATGTGAGCACAACAACCATAAAAAATAAAAATTAATTATTATGATGTGAACAACAACCATAAAAAATAAAAATTAATTATTATGATGTGAACAACAACCGTATTTTATATTTTCCCATAAAAAATAAAAAATTAAACTCTATAATAAGTTTTTTGAACTAAATAAAAATTTACTACGTAATTGTTATGATCAAAACAACAACCATAAAAACGTAAAACTTAATTATTATGATGTGAACAATAATTGTCTATTATATTTTCCCATAAAAAAATTAAACTCTATAATAAGTTTCTTGAGCTAAATAAAATATTACTCCGTAATTGTTATGACCTAAACAACCACCATAAAAAAGTAAAAATTAATTATTATAATGTGAACAACAACGGTCTATTATATTTTCCCAAAAAAATAAAAATTAAACTCTATAATAAGTTTCTTGAACTAATATCATATTAAATAAAAGTTAATTGTTATGATGTAAACAACAACCATAAAAAATTAATTATTATAAATTTATCCTCACAAATTAAGAAGTTGGAGGACTTGGATGCACAAGCAAACGCGTGAAAGAGATCAAGTACGTTATTGGGTATTATTGGTATATTAGTATAAATGTATGTATATATAATCAAATGTAAGGCTGAAAATTGTGTGTGTTTGCATGTGCATAGATATGTAATTGATTTATATATAAGTAAGGTTTTATTTTCAAATACTATAATATATTATGCACGCTGAACGAGGACTTTTTTAAAGAATTAGTTTGCTATGCAATGTATTGGTTCGTTTCCTCCTTTATAAATTGTGCACGCTGAAAAAAAAAAAAAAAAAAGTCAATGAATTCGATTGTGAAAACACACACACACATATATATATATATATATATATATATATATATATATATATATATTGAATATTTAATTATTTCATTAAATTATATTATATATGTGAGACATTAATTTTATATATTATTTATTAATTGTCCACTTACTAGCTGCTGTAATTGCACCTAATATGTGATGCAATTGCATAACTCCATGACTTTACTATACATATCATTTTAATAGTGCTGATTCAATACTCTATAATTAATTTATGGTATTTGTTCAAACTTTAAGTTGAAGAATTTACGGGGCTACTGTGCCATAAGTAAGCATTATTGACTTGATTAATTTTAAGGTTCAAGTTTTTAATTCTTTATTTTTTAATTTTTACAAGAGAAACTTTACCCATTATATAACCAACTATGATTAAGTTCAAAGTTTCTCTTGTAAAAATTAAGAAATAAAAATGTACTCTGATATAGTCTTGATCTTTAATGGATCAAGGCTCCTCTATTCGGTACTTATCCACAAAATTGAGCATTCTCTCTAAAAGTTAATTGGGAACTGAAGTTCCTTTATGTCTTATGGATATACTTACGTTAACACAACACGAAATAAATGGATTTGAATTGGACTTAATTGTGTTCATGTCGTTCCAAATTGAGACGGTAATTAAACGTGTTGTGTTCGTATTTAATCTATCAACACATTTATAATCCGCTTAACTAAACGTCTTTAATAAACGTGTTGTGTTTGTATTAAAATGATCCGTTTAACTAAATGTGTTGAATAAACGTGTCGTATTCGTGTTAAAAATGACTTAAATATCGATTGTCGAGTTAAGCCTTAACCCATTTATTAAACGGGTTATGCATATTGTGCAGTGTTACCTGTGTAATAATCGTGTCCTGTTCGTATTAGGGTTTTTTGACACAAAAAATAATCTTGTTGCATTACCCATGTAATAATCGTATTGTTTTCGTATTAGAGTTTCTTGACACGAATAATAATTGTCGTGTTTATGTCGGCCTATATAACAAAATACTCATACTTTGACACGACTCGAACACGATCCGTTAACACAAATTGCCACCCCTAAAATTTAACCTTTTTTTTTTATTTATTTTTTATCCTCACTAGAATTTACCTTTGAAGATTTTAAAATGTTGTGTTTGATCCTAATGTTTTTTCTTTTTCTTTTTCTTTTTTTTTGCCCTTTTCTCTTTTTTGGGCCTGGGCTCTTAGTTTTGGTATTGACTAGCCCTTTTGTAATCCTTGTAGTTTTCGATGACCCCAATCCTCTTGGGTTTGCATTGTTCTACCTTTGTCCTCACCATTCGGAAAAAAAAAATGATTGTCCTTGTATTTGCCTTTATGTTACTCGAGTAGAGTCACTCCCCTTATTCCTCCTAAGCCTTACATGGCGTCACATAAATGAAATCGATAACCTCCTTTGCGCGTTGAGATCAATTAACAGAAAAATATGACACACGCTCCAATGTTGTACTACAAAAGATTACAACTCAAGATTTTGGAGCTTTGAATGTTGTTTTGAGAATCAGACGACAGTGAAGAAAGCAGTAGCTTATTTCTCAAAATTAAACTCCACTCATAAAAAAAAAAAATAAGTAAAAAAAAAAAATAAATTCAAAAAAATTAAAATTAAACACCACTTCTATGAGTACACAGCACAGGCAACAAAGGCAAATGGGAAACAATTATGGGTTAAAATCCCGTGATCAGAGTCTTAAAGGTTGAACCAGCAGCATGGCTGATATAAACAATGGAGGGTTCTCACTCCCACCCACCTATGTGGTTTTTACGAACCATTCCGTGGAGGTGGCTTTTTGACGTCTTCCCATTTGTCCAAACGCGCCCTAGCTTTCTCCACCTGAAATCCAACAAACCAAATCCTTAAATTAATAGTTATTGTTGCAAAATTAATTTCGAAAAAAATAGAAGAATATATTATTGTTGCAAAATTTGGACCAACTAGTTAAATTATAATCAGGATGATTATATATATATATATATATATATATACCTCTTTATTCCAATCGGTACGACATGTCACCACAATTAAGATGACGGTTTGCATCAATGTTCCTCCTATCATCCCAGACCATATACCCTACACATGAACATAAAATACAAAAATAAAACCATTCATTTCCCTTTACATTCAAGGATGGTTATTAATTTTTTTTTTTATTATTAATTTCTTTGTTTTAAAATATGGGCAAATTCATGTAAGTAAATTCTAAAAATTAATTGACCATCTGCTAATTACTTCTACTTTTAATTTGTTGAACTGGTTTACCAGAAGTTGCATTCTTTATTATCTTCCTTCGAGCAAATATGCACATGGGTATAGACAAAAGATGCAATATACATGCATGATATCAAAATATCAAATGCAAACATATATATATATATATATATATATATATATATATATGTATGTATGTACCTGAGCACCAAGGTTGAACTTAAACCCAAGAAGACAACCAAGAGGAATTCCTACCACGTAATAACAACCCACATTCACATATGCGACAAATGCTTGCCATCCACACCCAACAGCCACACCTTCAATTATTCAAACCAATCTGTTAGCGGATATTTTGCGCTAATAATGTGTATATATATATATATATATATATATATATATATGTATTTGCGCTAGGAAAAGTTGCAGTGTTAATTTTCAAAAAATAAAAAATTGCAGTTATATTAATTAACTGTGGTGGTATATAAAATTTAAATTATTTTTCAAAGTTGTTTTTATGAAATATATCTATAATACAAGTTATAAATACAATTTGAATAGGCAAGAACAAATATTGATCATCCATCAAAAGTTGATTACAGTAGAACACATCATCAGACAACAAAAAATTGACAGTACTCGGTCGTTCATGTGATTCTCATGGTGTTAGTGTTGGCGTTGCAGTGAGATGTAGCAATTTATGTAGGGTGGTCATTGCTGCTATGTTCTTTTTCCAACAGGTTGGTGGGTGATGCTTCTTTATCTCAAATCTTGATGTGGTTTAGACTACTGTTAAAGCTTTGGAAAGAGGTTATCAAATTAAGAATGATGTTTGAAATTGACTCCCAAATGATTGTGAATGCGATTTTATAATAAAGAAAACAAATTCTTTCTTTTCCCAATAACATGATAAAGAAAGATTTATCCTATACAAAAACATGATGCTTTACACCACGCAAATCTATTACTACTATCTCATGGAGATAATAGATTAGTTGGGGTCACATTTTCAAAATAAATGTATTGTATGAATATTTGTATCAGTTATCAAATAGGCAATAGTTTAACTAGTGCAAACTTTTCAACCGGAAAGTAGGAGTTTCCAGTATGGATGTATGAATGTGTGAGTTTGTTTAACTCTCCAAATTAAATAATAATAATATATTTGTATCAAAAAAAAAAAAAAAAAAATTATACTCTGGATACGATGTAGAGATTGATCATCATGATGTAAAAACAGTACTTGATTTGGCTCCAACGGATCACTCTGGAGTGGTGAGTCCCACCACCGATTACAAATTTACAAGAAGCCAGACTGATCTTTTAGATAAGATTTTGAGGGGAAAAGACAAAAAAAAAAAAAAAAAAAATGAAGAAGAAAAGCAATCTATCACCGACTCTAACTTTCGAGACATCAGCACAAAGTTCAGCTAGCTAGCTTGTCTGATGTCTCGCTAGCTACAAAAAATATTCATCACTAGTGCATATATATTTAATATGTATGCATATTTATGATCCAATACAACTGCAAGTTTGCTACATTATATATTTATAACTTGGGTGAGTATAATCGATCAATATTCCAATTTGTATTATATTGTTTATAAAGTGGTGAGTTAAGGACTTACCAGACAAGACTGGTTGGACACCATTGAGAATGAGAGTGACCGCCAAGAAGGGGCAGAGTTCGGAGACGGCCTCAGCCACAGACTCACCGCTGGTGAAGGCGTAGCTGATGACGTTGCGCAACGCTAGCACAATCATAGCTTCCACCACAGCAATTATGAATGAAACAAAATTCACCACCACAACGGAGAATGCTGCAGACTTGGGGTTTCCTGCTCCAAGCTCATTGCTAACCCTTACACTGTTTCCAAATAATTCATCGATCAATCACTTCATTCAATCCTCAAAAAAAAGTTTTAATGAAGCAAAGCTGTGGTAAAACTATTAATCTAGCAGTACTGCCGTCACGGACTCCAAACATTTTTCTATATTTATGCTCAAGGACTCACCTGGCAGCTGCGTTGAACCCAACAGAAACCATGAACAGTAACCCATTAATCGCCAAGCTGCAGGAAATTAAAGACATGCGTTATTAAACCCATTATCTAAACAAGTACTAGTATACCGTTAATACGCCAAACAAAAATAATAATATATATCTCCATTGATAGTAGTTTAATTTCCTTTTTTATAAGTGTGTTTGGATTTTATTTTTTCCAGTTTTGTTAATATCCTAAGCAAAGACCAAAAGATCTACATGACAATAACAAGAACCACTTCACATTACATTGGACGGACCCAGAAAATAAGGTAAGGGAGGTAATAATAAAAAAAAAATTAGTAATTTTAGGGAGATCAATAGTAATATTTTAGGGGTATATAACTGAAAAAGAGCAAAATAATAGGAATATATTAGTAATAAAAAAAATTCGCGATTTTGGACGGGTGTACCCCCCACCCCCCAACCGTTTAGAAACCTTCACCCCATTCTCATCCAAAATCGCCTAAACGGGGGACGTTTTTACCCCATCCCTGCCCCGTTTAACATTTTTTACCTCTGCAGGCACTTGCCCTGTCCTGCTTAATTCTAGAATTTCTCATCCTTTTTTAAAAAAAAAAATTTCTTCTTAAATACAATTATATAACTATTGAAAAAAATCATAAAAAATAAGTAATCAACAATTTAACATGAAATTAAGGGTATGAACGTTCTTAATTCGTAGGGCTCTGCTGTTCACTAGAACGGTTGAGAAAGTGAGTAAATGTGACTTAAGGTTAGAGCTAATTATACATACTAATAAAATAAGAATAATTTAGTAATTTACCTATCTAAATGGAAGAGACGGAGTAGAATGACCTTTTCTAGTTCCCGTCCCGAACTTGCACAATTTTTCATTAATAAAAATTATACCCGCTTAAATAAACTAAATGGCCTGCCAAAGTCGTTATAAATGAGCAGATAACCGGATATCCGTCCGGCAAATTGCAATCCCTACGGGTAGCTGAGCCACGTGAAGTTGATGCACACTACCAGTCATTGTGGGGCTTGGGCAAACGTATAGAGCCCATAGGAAAGACAACTTTATTAACAAGGAATTGACTGGAGGCCCAACTAATCAATTCCATGTGTTATAGGGCCCTCTTGCAACAAAGTCTATCTGACCACGCCCAACTTGATCAACACGCCACAGCTAAACATCATACGTCACACGAAAACACAATCATCAGAGGAGGACGCATCATCCCAAGGCCACTTGGAACAAAAACTAGGGTGGATTCATATAGTGTTATCATCCAAAGGATTTCAATCTTTGCATGTGTGTGTATTCCTTTACTAAGTGTAGTGGTTGTTCCGTATCCGACAAAATTCTGCCTGCACCCAGCTCGGATTCAGGGTTTTTTAAATCTTCCACTTCATTAGGAATTTATGATCCTTTTAACATATCCTCATGTGAAAAGGAAAGTTCATTCCTCGTTTCTGTCGAGGTTTCTCGGGTAGCCGAGGTTTCTCGTTTTTGTTGAGAGTGTGAGTTTTCTTTTTCTGTTGTTCGCTGTTGGTTTGTTCCTTATTGTGGTTTCTGATCTGGTCGTTTGATCTTGCGCGCAACGCGTGGATAGTTTTGTGGGTGTTTCTGTCCTTGTTAGGTCGGATCTTGCCGCGTAAATGGTGTGTGTTTTTTCTATGTGTGTTCCTCTTTTGGTGAAGTGGGTTGTGTGATAGTTTACTCCTGCGGTTTTGGGTTATTGGCTTCCCCTTTCTCTCCTTGCCAGAAGGGCAAACATGCTCCACGGGATGTCAAACAGGGGAATTTACGCCTTGGGCGACTTGCTGGTTACTCCGTGCAAAGTTTTTTTTTCGATTCGGGTATCAATTTTAGTTCTTATGTTTTTATGTTAGTGTTAACTTTCTCTTTGTGTGTTTTGCCTTTCAGATTTCGTGAGTTGCCTTCCTCCTCTTCCCGTGTTTGGCTTCCCATGGTGACTAGCTTGATTATGAGAGATGCGACTTTTCTAGGTGCCAATACCTCTGGTCCGTGGTTGGGTGATACTGGATGTATTGGCCAGGGAAGCACGCTTATGTTTCCGGAGGGTTCTCTTCATCGCTATACTTGGCGATATTTTCTTTTTGTTGTTGGTGATTCCGGGGATAGAGAATCGCTGATCACGTATTCCGGGGTCCTTTTCATTTTTCTTGATCCAAGTTGGGTTTCTTCTGACCATCAAACTCGTTGTCTTGGTCCTTGCCGGAAGTTGTTTGTTCCCTCGGTGTTTCGTTTGCCGAAGTTGGAAAGCCTCGGGCTGCTGTATGCTCAGATGACAGTCTTTTCATCTGACATCATTATTGTGCTTTCCTGTTGGCGTGTTAACCACGTTGGGCATGGTGATGTGGTTTCTTTTCGCTTCTGGTGGGCCAGGCATTTGAGTACTTTGGTCGTTGTGTGTAGCGGTGCCTTTTTCTATCTGAAGGGTTGTGTATGGCGGTGCATAGTTCTTTCTTTTGTGGTAATGGTCCTCCCATTGTAACTGGCATTTGGTTCTATGTGTTTTTGGTTCTATGTGTATGGCGATGTTTTTACCTGTAGATGTCGTATGGCATTTGGCTTGTTTCTTGCCCAGGCAAAAAAAAAAAAAAAAAATCCTCGGATTCATAAATGTATTTATTGAGAATTCAAACATATATGACACCACATATTTGATCCACAATCATAATCTACTTAACTTATCAGATAAAAAAAAGTCACATGTAAGAACTTTAATTGGAAAAATATTCTTTTAGGGAAAGTTGTTTTTTAAACATAACAAAAACTAAGAACTTCAATTTTATTTTTTAATTTATTTTTAATTTTTGACATAAAAGTAGTCAAAGACAGATACTAAACAACTGTTCTTTAAAATAGCAATATTCAAATAGTTAGGCCAATATAGAGTTGAATTAAGGAATATTTGATCATAAAAGATATTCTAGGGATTGTGTTGCTTGATTCTAGGGATTATGTCTAGAATCAAGCCTATAAATACTCTGTTAAATTCATGAAATGATATGAATGAAATACAATTCATCAAATTAAACATGGTATCAGAGACAGGTTCAAAACCCGTTTGATTCATTGTTTCAATTTTTTTTTTTTTTTCAAAAAGCCCAGAAATTCATAGCTATCCTCAAAACTCAAGACCCAAAACCCAGAAATCTACAAGAATCTAGAGTTTAAAACCCATTACCTATATCAAAACCCATATCGGCGTATCATTTCAGATTCTTCAAAAAAAAAAAAAAAAAATCAAAGCCCATATCCTTCACCGAACCTGCGTCGTTGCTGCCGCTGCCATCATTAAACCCACAAGCCGTCACCTCTGTAATCAACAACCAAATAATTTAACCCTTGTAATCAAGGGACGACAATGACGTTACCAGCAACCAACAATTTCGGCCGGGGAAGAACCCCAACTGAACAGCCGCCGTGAATCGCCGTCGTGAACTGCCGCTGGTCAATCTCCACGGCCGTCGTCTTCTCCTTGCCGCGCCGCGAGTCCAAGCTAGCCATCTTTGTTACCGCCGGCGCCGAATCAGTCGTCTTCGCTGCACCCACCGCTGATCGGATCATCTAGCCGCCACCGCTGCAATCGAAGCTGATCTCTGCCATCTACCGCGAAGCCGATCTCTGCCATCCGCCACCGCGAGCTCTCCATCCCCAAGCTCACCGCTGCCGCTATTCCATCTTCCCCACCAGTCCCATCCTCGAGATCACCGACGCTCTATATATGTATATATAATATATATATACATTATATTTCAAAGGCCAAACAAAAAAAATAACCCTCTGTTTAGCCACAAGTGTAATGTTATTCCAGTTCTAGATTAGTTCAAAACTAAATCAGTTTTGTAACCTTATTTGAAAACTGGTTCTGTGATAAACTAGTTCAAAAAAAAAAAACCATATTTTATGAGTGCTACTCTTTGGTTCGACGGGAGGCCCAGAACCGATCTAATCGGGGTCAACAAGATCGAGGACCACCCAACAATAGTAGACTAACCAATGGTGTTAACAAGTCTTCCTATAAATGCACTTGTTGCAGTAAGACTGGTCATACCAAAAGTCATTGTTTTGAGTTAGTGGGATATCCAGAATGGTGGGATCTTAGTCGTGCAAAGAAAAATCAACAAAAGCTTTCCACTGGAGTAGTTATCCAAACAAAGACGGAAGATGAAGTTGCTAGCAAAGCCTCGGCATTGGTAATAGCTGTAGACAATGGTAAGTCTCTAAATATTTCTACACCTGTTTTGAATAATGCATGGATAATTGATTTTGGTGCAACAGATCACATGACATATGATTCTAGACAGGTCTCATAACTTTGTCCCTCCACACAAAAATTTGTCTTTATTGCCAATGGAACTTCGACCCCAGTTAGTGGGGAAAGATCTTTGACTCTAAACAATACATTCAAGTTAGATTTTGTTTTAGTTGTTCTATCTTTAAATTATAATCTTTTGTCAATTTCTTAAATAACCACTACCTTATCTTGTGTTGTAACTTTTTGGCCTAATTCTTGTGTGTTTAAGGACATCAAAACCAGAAAGATGATTGGTTGTGGTATTAGGCAGGGGAAGCTGTATTACTTGAACTTAGACTCGAAGAGTACCCAAAGTCTACGACAAGCTCTGACAGTGGGTGGTTCTGAAGATACAAAAAGGAAAGAAATATGGTTATAGCATCGCCGGTTTAGGCATACTTCCTTTGGCTATCTCAAAAAATTATTTCCCAGTTTATTTTTCAGAGTTGATGTTTCTAGTTTTCATTGTGATGTTTGTGAACTTGCGAAAAGCCATCATAATTTATTTCCATTACGATTGAACAAAAGTCCACTTCCTTTTATGATTATTCATTCTGATGACTGGGGACCATCTAAAGTCACTACTTTGGGTGGGTCACGTTGGTTTGTAACGTTCATTGACGATTGTACTAGGATGACATAGCTTTGCCTAATGAAATCCAAAAATGAAGTGCACTTGATATTCCAACAATTTTATAAAAGGGTTGAAACTCGGTACAATAGAAAGATTCAAGTTCTTTGCAGTAACAATGGTAGAGAATATCAGAGCACTGAATTTCAACGTTATTTGGAAATACAAGGAATGATTCATCACACCACTTACTCCAACACACCCCAACAGAACGGGGTGACCTAGCGAAAAAATCGACACTTGTTGGCGGTTGTCAGAGCTTCGTTAATCGAAGCCTATATACCATTATTTTATTGGGGAGAAGCACTGACTTTTGTAACTTATTTAATCAATCGGGTACCCTCTAGCACCATCAATTTCAAAACACCATTTTAAACCCTTACTGATGCAATTATTGCCCCAGCTGTCTCAAATTTAACTCCTCATGTATTTGGTTGTGTGGTGTTCGTCCATCTACACAAGCATCAATGCACTAAGTTAACTCCTCACGCATTGCGATATGTCTTTGTTGGATATGCCACTCATCAAAAAGGATATCGGTGTTATAATCCTCCAACACGCCGATTATTTGTCACGATGGATGTTGTTTTCCATGAAGATACAATATACTTCTCCAAACCATAATTTTAGGGAGAGTACTAGAAGGAAATTCAAACTCTAGATTATGATGAAAGTGAAAATCAAGAGGTGGTCAACTTGGATATAAGTGGTATAACATTGGATTTCAGTGGTGATGACTCACAGACTGAAAACAATCAGGAAATGGATTTAAGTGGTATGACATTAGATACAAGTGGTGATGAACACCCAATAACCGAAGCAGTAGATCTATCTCTAACTCAGCATGAAATCGAGTTCTTGAAAAATATGGCTCCATCTCCGGCCGACATATCACACCAATCGTTTACTGAAGATGTTCGTGAGCCACAAAAAACAGTTGCCACAGCGTCACACCAGAGGTATTCCTAAACCTACATATGAACCTGAACTTTCTAGTAAAGTAAAATACCCTATGAGTCATTATGTGTCTAACCATGGTTTGTCAGAATCAAACATGTCATTTGTGAATCAATTATCTACCGTATCTATTCCTAACAGTGTGCAGGAAGCCTTAGCTAACCCCAGATGGAAAGCAGCTATGAACGAGGAGATGACATCTCTGAAACAAAATGACACATGGGAACTAGTTGATCCTCTACCAGAGAAGAAACCAGTTAGATGTCGGTGGGTTTACACCGTGAAGTACAAAGCTGACGGCAAAATAGAACGCTTTAAGGTAAGACTGGTAGCAAAGGGATACACTCAAACCTATGGGATTAATTACACATAAACATTTGCACCTATAGCCAAAATCAACACAGTTCGTGTCCTGCTATCGTTAGCTGCAAACTTGGGTTGGCCATTACAATAATTTGATGTAAAAAATGTTTTTCTACATAGTGAATTATCCGAAGAAGTTTACATGGATCTCCCACCAGGATGCATGATACCCGAACAACATAGTCAGAAGGTGTGCAGACTAAAGAAATCGTTATATGGGTTGAAACAATCTCCGAGAGCATGGTTTGAAAGGTTTACAAAGTCTATAATAGCCTTTGGCTACCATCAGAGCAATTCAGACCACACTTTATTCCTGAAAAAACAACATGGTAAGATCACTGCACTCATTGTATATGTGGATGACATGATGGTTACAAAGAATGATCCTAAAGAAATGAAGGCTCTCAAGAATTACTTGTCCAGAGAATTTGAAATAAAAGATCTAGGTCAATTGAAATATTTTCTTATGATCAAAGTATCTCGATCTAATAAAGGAATCTTTCTATCTCAAAAAAAATATGCTTTAGATTTATTACAAGAGATAGGTATGACAAGATGTCAACCAGCTGATACACCAGTGGAAGAAAGACTGAAGTTATGTGTTGAGTCCAACCAAGTACCTGCTAATAAAGGAAGATACCAAAGACATTTAGGAAGATTGATGTACTTAGCACACACGAGACCAGATTTAGCGTATACATTGAGTATCGTTAGCCACTTTATGCATGATCCTATAGAACAACATATGAATGCAGTTATACGCATTTTGAGGTATCTGAAATCTGCTTATGGAAAAAGAATTTTGTTCACTAAAAATGCTGATTATCAAAACATAGTTGCATATACTGATGCTGACTGGGCTAGATAAATATATGATAGGCGATCAACCTCTGGTTACTTTACTTTCGTAGAAGGTAATCTTGTGACATGGAGAAGTAAGAAACAAAATGTTGTAACTCACTCAAGTGCGGAAGCTGAATTCAGAGGTTTGGCAAATGTATTTTGTGAGATTTTATGGCTAAGAAACCTCTTGCGGGATTTGGGTTATCTATCTAAACAACCTATCCGACTGTTTTGTGATAATAAAGCAGCATGTGACATCACGTATAATCCAGTTCAACACGACCGTATAAAGCACGTTGAGGTAGACAGATTTTTCATTAAGGAAAAGTTAGATGGAAAGCTTGTGGAATTACCTAAGATTTGATCAAATGATCAGTTGGCTGACATCCTTACCAAAGCAGTCTCAAATCAAATGTTCTTAAAGTTTTTAGACAAGTTGGGCATGTAAGACATCTATGCACCAACTTGAGGGGGAGTGTTGAATTAAGGAATTCAAAGATGTCTAGAATGTCAAATGTTTGAATTAGGTATGTCAAATATTGTATATTTGACCATAAAAGATATTCTAGGAATTGTGTTGCTTGATTCTAGGGATTATGTCTAGAATCAAGCTTATAAATACTCTGTTAAATTCATAAAATGATATGAATGAAATACAATTCATCAAATTAAATATATAGACCAGTCTAAAATGGGGCAGGCATCCCAGCTTCTAGGACCCAAGAACTTTGATTCAAAAGGTAACCTTTTACCAAAATGGTTTTTTAAATGATCACTAAAACTTACAACTTTAATTGAAAAAGTATCCTTAAATGATCACAAGAGTTTTGAGCACGCAGTATTTTGTTTTTTATCGAATGTCCCTAAAATTTCCTCATTCCAAATCTTAAAAATATCTTCTTAAATTAATGCTATAGAAATTTTTATAAATGTTTTGATAGATAAAAAACAAATGTTTGATTTACCTTACAAAAATTAGCTGCAACCCATAAAGGAAGTGGTTAATATATGTATGTAGCTAATACTCCGTAAAATATACATCTAAACCCCCTTTACTATTAAGTGGCTCATGTTACTTGATAGATGATGTCCTCAAATATGTAAGGTGGGAACTCTACCCTGGAGGAATGTGATATTCTACTCAAATTGTAGGGTAGTTACCACACCGGGAAAGAATCAGACTCTCAGCCCAAAGACCTAAATATGTGTGTGTGTGTGTGTGTGTGTGTGTGTGTGTGTGTACAGGGTAGTAACTCTACCAAGAAAGAATGAGATGATGGGTCAAGACTCAATTGAGGAATAACTCTAATAAGAAAGAATATTGATTTTTAAAAAATTTGTCAAGACTCAATTGAGGAGGAAAAAAAATGGGTCTGAGTTAGAAAATGAATGATCTCTTTGAATTTTGAATAAAAAAATAAAAAATAAAAAACATATCAGTTTTGAGACATTTTTAAGAGTTCAATAAGGACATTTTTAAAATTATAAAAAAATTAATATTTAAATTATTAATAATGAAGAAGTTGGGCAATTGTCCCACTATGACCATCATTATTGTGTATGCTATCACATCACGCCCTATCAAAAGATATCTCACCCTAATAAAGTGGAGGTTGTAAGGGTGTGTTTGGTAAGGTTGATTTGGAGGGATAAGGAGAGAAAAGAAAAGAGAGGATAATGTGAGAGTGTGTTTGGATGGGTTAAGTGGAGAGAAAATAGAGGTTAGGGAGAGATAGGGAGGGATAGCTATCCGTCCTTATCCCTTATATGTTTTCTCTCCCAATTTGAGATGATAGGGAGAGAAAGGATAGTGAAATAAGTTATAAATTATTAATACCAAAAATGCCCTCTACAAATCAACATATAGAAATGTAATTCGATTTATGTCGTAATATGCTTAGTGGAATGCAAGGATGTATGACAATGCTAAAAGTAATTAAAATTTTTAAGATAGGAAGGGATCGAGTCGAATAGGTATAACAGATACAACAAAAATAAAATTTTCACACACTCATAAAAAAAGTTAAAGACTACTATTACCTTCAACCATGTTGAATGGTTCATCTTAGCCTTGTGATATATTTTTTTTTATTTTTTTATTTTTTACTTTTGTTTTTACCCATTGCATTGAACTATAAAAAAGAAACAAGATTTTGGAAATAGATAATGTATGAAGTGGTTATGAAAGGGTAGGACAGCAATTTGGTCACTATCCTTTCTTTTCTTTTCTCTACTCTATCTTATCCAAATAAAAATAACTATTATTTATTTTCTTTTCTCCCCTATCAATCCAAATACGAACAGAAATTATTACTATCATTTCTTTTCTTTTCTTTTTTCTCCTAACTAATATTATCCTTTCTTTTCTTTTCTCCCTTATTTATCCAAACACACCCTAAGAGTTTAAAGTGCCAAGTCCCATGAAATGATTTAGGCACAAACAATGGTGGGACATACAAATATATGGAGCCCACCATGACTTGTGTCTCTCTTCTTCTTCTTTTTTATCGAAATTCAAGTAAACACAAGCCCAACTGATGTCAAAACACTCTAAACTTTTCTCTTTTTAAGTAGAAAAACTTATACAGAGTAGCATTTTATATTATTCCCTCCGTGTCTCTGTAATTGTCCACGAAGTGATAAATTATATGAAGTGAATAATTATATTGAGACGGAGATAATACTACATGTCTATTCATGACTTGTGTGGTTGCTTTTAAACTCGGCACAAAAAAACATTTATAGAAGCCTAAAAAATGGTATTTTTAGTTCTTACCAGACAGAGATAGAGTCCAAAGACAAGGCGGGGTTTTCAAGCAGGCCAGAAATCAACACTAGTATCTGCAAGTACCACGTCTCCAAGCACAGCATCACCGCAGATGCAAAAGACAATTTCAGAAATTCCCAAAGCCCATAAAAAGCTTCAAATCTAAATCCAGTCCACGTGGTCTTACACGTGTCACTCATCAGTATGTAAACAAACTGGGCCCCAACTATGATCCACCACGACAAGCTCAACACCAGTGATGCACCTATCAAGCCCAGCCCGATCTTGTACACCGCCACCCAGCTTAACAGTAGGTGCAACCCAAGTGTAGCCGCTGATATGTACGCGCTGGGCCGCACTATGCTCTGTGATTGCAAGAATTTCTGTATTGGAAAATTGATGGCGTACGCGAAGATCTGTGGGATGAGACCATAGACGAATATTGCCGCTTGCGTTGCCACCTCCGTTGATTCGCCCAGTAACAGCAACAGTTCCTTTGAGAACACATAAATCACCGTTAATGGGATCCCTGTCAGAGTGAGGACGATCGTTGCTCTTTGGAGATAGACTCCTAGCATGTCGTACTTGTGGGCCCCATAAGCTTGTCCACACAATGTCTCTACCGCACTGCCCATTCCAAGCTGCAACCGCAGAATAATAGAGTAACATTAACTATTCTTACATTAATTGTACTTTTATTAGTTCAAATATATGGATAAAATAATATTTTTAAGCCTTTTAATGATATTTTTAGATTTTAAGTAAATTTTGAACATAAACAAAAATGACAAAAGAATGGTCAGTATTACATTTGAAACTAAAAAAAATTACATAAAGAATACTATTTAAACAATCTAAAAGAAAGGCAAATATAATTATCCCAACAATAAAATAAGTGATTTCTGCATACTCATTTGTGCAAGTACTAAAATCCTCTTCAGTAAATTGATTTTTTTACATATGTATCAACATTTTTAGATACTAATCATACTAGATAGATAGACAACAGGCCCAACACACACGTGTATATGTAATCGTGTGTGTGTATATATACATATATATATGATATACGCATATATATATATGCATAAACGGCATACTTTTGTACATATATAGATATATGTATATATGTATGTATATATTTGGGTATAGATAATTAGATACTGAGAGAGAGAGAGAGGGGTGTATACCATGAGGCCGTAGGCAAAAAGTTGGATGCCGTTGTTGCCAAGAGTGGCGGCGGCGAGCTCAAGATTGCCAATATGACCGGCGAAGATTCGAGTGGACATGGACATGAAGTTGTTGATCAAGTACACCAAAACTGCCGGTGCTGCAAGCTTAAAGAGGATCTTAAGTTCGATCCAACTGGCCAATCTTAGACGCTTCAAGTAAGGTAATTCGGTGTTTGACAATGTCTTTTCGAGTTCGGAGTTAGACTCATAGACGTTCGATGGCAATTCCGACGACGACGGTGGCGGTTGTGTTGACTGTAAGATGGGTTGGCGGAGTCCATCTTCAGATTCCATGCTTTTCACTCGATCCAGACTTTTGAGTATAAGGAGGAGGATTGTTGTCTAGATTTTATTTTTTATATATAGTCAATATATATGTAAAAATGTTGTTGATTTTATATATATATGGACTATATTGGCAATCTAAGTCCATCTCCAAGACTTGACTTTACTTTTTAATTTTTTATATATAGATAATATACATTTGAGTATAAGGAGGAGGAGTGTTGTCCATAGGAGTGTTGGGAAGGAAAATGTCAATATAGTTTATTAAGACTTGACTTTACTTTTTGTTTTTTTTCTCCAAGACTTGACTTTACTTTCATGCGACCTTATTGCGGTCCACATTCTTTTACTATCCCTTATTTATTTATTTATTTATTTATTTATTGTGTAAATATAGTTACTTTTACTTCACTTTTGCTTTTCTTACTTTCCATTTAATCAAAAAAATCAAGGAAAAATGCTTCTTTCACCCAACTTGGAATCCCAAATATGAGAGAAGGTAGTGGCAATCCATCACATGAGTGGGTTCAATTTAAAAGGAACAATTTTTTATTGAACGATACTTATAAATAGGTTACTTCTATTATAAATAGGTTACTTCTATTAAGAAGACTGAATTACATAGGAAGATTGAATTTATTCTGAATAAAAATTATTATTCTTGAATTTATTCTGAATAAAAATTATTATTCTTATTTATCACTTTCTAATTCTATAATATATGTATTTATAATTGGACTACATTAACAATAATTCGACTGATGTGAAGACTTCAGTTTAAGATTGATTTCATAAATGCCATTATTTAATATAAAAAATATACACGGGAATGGTGTTTCTTAACATGCTTTCTGTTGCACACGGGATTTAAAATATATATATATATATTTATTAAAGAACTTAACTTAAATATGCAACGGTTAAACAAATATTCAGTGACCTCCAAATTAAATCCCTATCGTCATATATATTATGTTTTTGATCAAGGCCACCTCGAGTTTTTGTCATGTGGGTGCCCAAAAAAAGTGACACTGATGCAAGACTGTTTAAATTTTCACCTATACGCAGTATTTACTGCAAGTGGAACACAGGAAGAAATTTACATACCTGCAAAAACCAAGCAATGTTTTTATTGAAACTTAGGTAGGACAATTCAAGCGTACTTTTGGTTCTGAGCTAACCATCAAATTCTTGAAACGTAGGTAATTCTATTCACTCGACAATCCATTTACGGAGTATCATTTGTCATCGACAATTCATTTACTACTTGACGTACATCTAAAAATTAGATCGATCCACCCATCCCTGCATTTGTTGTCTACCTAAACCCCTTGGATGTGTACCTAAAAATTAGATCGATCCACGCACTAACTACTCTGTAGTGCTCCCCATCCACACCCAAAAGCGACCCCGGCTTAAAACATTTTTCATAAACAAAATGCACATGATCAATCATTAGTCGTCACCAGAACACAGCGACGGAGTTAGGATTTCAAATTAGGAGGAGCACCGTGCAAGATATATATGTGTGTGTGTAAACATTACAAATATAAAATACAAAAGAAGAAGAAAAAAATTCAAATATACACGATAAAAAAATGAATTTTAAGAAGTAGAAGTTGAAAAATGAAAGAAAAAATGAGGGAACTTTAAAAGGAAAAAGTTAAGAGTTTCAATTGAGTAAGGAAAATTTAATTTTTTCTTTTAAGAAAATTTAAGAAATTTGAATAGTAAAAAAGAAAATAAATGGATAATTTTAGAAATCACAAAATTTGGAGGGGCACTGTATAAATTTTTTTATATATATAGAAAAATATAAAAAATTACTACATATATTATAGAGGACAGGCGAAGAGGGGCACTGTATAAATTTTTTCATATATATAGAAAAAATATAAAAAATTACTACTTATATTATAAAGGGCAGACCAAGAGAGGCACTGTATACAATTTTTCATATATATACAAAAGATATAAAAAAATTACTACGTATATTATAGAGCGCATGGCCAAGCCGGGACAGGCACGTGCCCCTCCTGGCCCTTTATCAGCTCCGTCCCGGCCAAAACATCATGATGAGAGAAAGACATGTTTAACAACCAGACCATGCTTGGGGTGAGACTGGTAGTTTGCTTAATATATTACATTCAGGTTGATGACTGATATGGAAAGTAATGTCGATCTCTTAATTTCTTTGTCCGTGAGAGTGACTATCGTTAAAAGCCAAAACACACACACACACCTACACAAAGACAGCATATGTCGCGTAATAAAACAGAATATGTCCATTACCATTTATTTATCAAAAGTTTTTTAAATTAGGAAAAATTACATATAAATGGAGTCAAAGTTCCATATTTACTTAGAGGTTAAGTCAAAGTTCCATATTTCTCTAAAATGGATTGCTGAGGTGGCACATGGTTTTTTACTGTTTATAAATTGTGGTGCCTAAAATACCCTTCTGCGAAGGTACTACTTTTTCTTCGAAGGTACTACTTTTTTGAACTGAAGGTACTACTTTTTGGCGTCCAGGTACCATATTTTTTAAACACCCGCGAAGGTACTACTTTTTCTCCGAAGGTACTACTTTTTTGAACTGAATGTACTACTTTTTTGAACTGAAGGTACTACTTTTTTGTTAGGAAAGGGCATTTTAGGCACCACAATTTTCTAAACAGTAAAAAACCATGTGCCACCTCAGCAATCCATTTTAGAGAAATATGGAACTTTGACTCAGTCTCTAAATAAATATGGAACTTTGACTCCATTTATATGTAATTTTCCCTTTAAATTAAGCGTTGATTAATGCACTCAGATCGCACCAATTTTTATTTTTGACCTATATATGTGAACCACTACTCATGATGGAGTAGAATTGTAGCCATCCCATCACATAGACCAATGAACCACGCTCCATATATCTCTCTGGCGGAAATTAACCCGCTCAGAAAGCTGGGCAGCCCATGAAAATGAGGATTTGGATTTCCATATTAATAAGTATACGGATTAATTTGTGTATCTCACTTCTTAAGTTGGGCCCCATGCATCAAACTTCCGCAACCATATATATATATATGCTTGCGGAAGTTTGATGCATGATATATATGTGCAAATTATTGCAGCTAGCATTGTTGAGATATTCCGTGCAGTTCAATTAATTAAACGAATGAAGTAAAATTTAATTATACAATTCAATAATTGTAGATATATATGTTGGGATTTATATATCTTAACATAGTAAATTTTTATTTAAATTATAGTGACATATATTCTTGACATATCTAAAATATTTATGATTTATATAATTGGTGAATTCAATGTATTATGTTTCGATTCATTATGTAATTGATACTGTCCACTTGATTATAGTAAATATTTATATATGTATGTGACGGCGATCAATAAATGAATATAAATAGTAATTATAAATTGTTCATAGTCGGTAATTTTGGATGGACTCATTATTAACAAAGACTTGAACTGGATTCGCGTTAGGTTGAGATATATTGCGAGAGCCATCATATGCAATTACTTCATATCACTGTCATGACATTTGACTATTAAGTATGAGAGAAGTATAAACTCTTTTATTAATTAGTAATTACTTTGATTTGTTTGGCGGAATCTTTGATATTCTTAGACCGGCACTTTGACTAATTATGTAATTAATAGTTAGAGAGTTACATTTCAATATTTGCATCATTGCTACTTGTATTTATTTTGTATTTATTATAGTTGATCACAAAGTAAATTCGAACGCCTTCATGTGTTTTTAGACAAAATAATTTATTATATATTTATTTATTTAAATTATTATTTTTGTCAAACAAATATTTTTATTGTAATCGAGTCGGAAATAATCAAAGGTACCAAAATAAATATATTAATTAAGTAGTTGGACTGATGACTTTATTTATCCGATAACTAATTATGCATAGAGGGATCAAAGTGCAACATTGACATAGAGGTTATTTATTATTTAATTGGAGTTCAATTAATTTCTTTTATTGGAGTACAAATTAATTAATGAATTAATTTAATCGGGTCCATGGACTGGGCTAATTATTAATTTATTGTACCCAATAAAATAATAAGCGTAAAGGATTCTCACTCATAGCCCAACTTGATATTGAAATCCTATTATACTTGAGATATGTGAATTACAGATTGAGAATGATTTATTGTTTACTTTCCTTATCTTTATTTTGCCTATATATACATGGGTCTATATATATTTTAAGGGAGATTTTAAGAAGATAAGAAAATATTTTCTCTTTCTAGATTTTTAGGGTTAATGTTCTCATCTAATAGAGGCTCCCATAAGCCTAGTTTTCCAATGTCATTCATGAAGGCTTATGAATGATTCCTAAAGGCAAGACCATTACCAAGGAGATGGAGATCCAAGGAGAAGGCATCTAGTAAAAAGGATCTACAATAAGTGAGAACATTCATTTTAGAGGAGAGATTTAAGGTTTACTCAAATCTTGATATAAGTATTCAATCTATTAATTGAATGATACATCATCATATTTTATTTTTGTATAAAACTTGTCTCTATGTGATGAATCAAGATATATGTATGAAAATTCTTCAAAAAGTTTTTAAAACTTACACGTTTTCCAACAGTGGTATCAGAGTATGGTCTGATTCATTACTTGAGATCATGTTTTTTTTATGAAAATCATCATTCATGGATCCAAATTTATATATATGCATATGTATATATTAATATATGATCATGATGTATGTATATTTGTTATTGGATGATGTTGATGTATGTTTGGGTCATAGATAAAGTTTATAGGTAAATTGAATGTAATTTTATCTTTGGATAAATGTAATTAAGACTTTGATTTAGCCATTTGAAAGTTCAGTGATATAATTTAATTTTTTCCATTGTATTTCAAGTGTAAATATTTTTTAAAGTCATGTAATCTTCATCAAAGGATGCTATAAAGCTTCAAGAAGGTCCAAGAGGGTTAAATTAGGCTTCAGGAATTTTCTGAAATTTTTTAAAATTTTTCTAGGATTTTTCTGAATTTTTTAAGGGCCTAATTTAATTTCTGAAATTTTTTATTAATTTTTTGGAATTTTCGACGGTTTTCCGGCGACCAGAGAGTCGCCGGCGGCGATGGCAGCATCGGATGTACAGACTATCGATCCAGTGTTTCGCGGTGCACCATAATACGGTGCAACCGGATACATTGCCA